CGTCGACACATCCGATCGCGTACGCCGTTCAACCACTACGCGGGCGATGTGCCATCTCTCCTCAAGAATTATATTCAGCCCGGACGCTCCGACGGCCGGCCCGGCGCCAGGCGTTCTCAACACCGTCAGCGCGATCAATTATCTTTACATAATGATTATCAAAGCACGGTAATTCTTTCATCCTAAGATAGCAGCAGCCCATCACAGGTCTCAAATGTATATATATATATACAATATAATATATTTGTGACTTATAACAATTATGGTATAGATATGAGTATGTGCATTTTTATGCGGCACAGGCGAACCTTGAATAACTACGAGGTCAACTATGATCATAAGGCCAACCACTTAAAAAAATTGTTGGGTCCCCTTTTACCTACTCGGCCGTACTCAGGGTACCCGAGCTAGGTAGTAGGCGTGAAAAAGATCTTTTTTTATTGTTGTTTTGACAAGGATGTGGTATGGTAATAGTTGTATATTCTGTTCTTTGTGTCATGTTTTTGCGATAAAAAGAAATATTATATTGTTTCTGGTTTTAATCGTCCGAATTAAAAATGTGTCTGAGATAGCCGCGTTTGCGAGTCGTCGCGTAAAGGGAAACAAGCAATATATTTGATCTTAGGCCTAAACAGCTTCAAGTTAACCATGAGCCCTGGTAGTGTATAAAATCCCAAAGTTAAACATCTAGGACATACAGCCAAACACCGTGTAGCTGCACGTAGCTGTCTGCGTGCGTGCCGCGTGTCCGTACGCGCACGAACTTCACGCGACAGCTGCAGCGTTCCGCCATGTCGGGTCCCTCGTCACAGCAATCTCCATGCCTGTAAAGCCGCTGCGGCGGGTGACGGGCGTGGCAAGGCTGATGAGCTATCATCCTGCAGCAAGCGTGTTTGCCCAGTGGGCCCAGGCAGCCAAGGTGCGCAATCGACAGTACTTGAGAAGCGGCTTTGCCGCTCGTGTTGTCGCGCCGGTAGGGGGGCGCCGCCGCACCCGTCACAGCTTGCCCGTCAGATCAAGCTTATGTCGAAGGCAGCTTCGCAATCGAAGTCGTCCTTCTTCGAAGTCCATGATACAAGTCGAACCACAGCTGTAGCGAGGGAAGAATGGTGAGCAAACTACCGCGCGTGGCGACAGGAGCTATTAAAAACAAACCCGTCATCAAATTACAAAATAATCCATACACGGGCAGAGTTATTGTTTTCGTGAACGATATTAATAGTACACAGACATAGATGACTAAATGCTACTGAACCATGATATATGAGTCGGCAATCGAGTTCTCGGACAGGAAGCATGGCAAAGCGTAAATTCCTAAGGCCAGCAGCTAGTCAAAACCGATCTTAGTGAGAAGCCATTAGCTGCTGCTGGACACTTCCGACAGTAGCAGACGACTGTAGCACCGCAGAAACATCTCTACTATCACCGTGCCCACAGATTTATGGCGCGGGGAATGTATTGGCCAGACGATGGCAGCACTCCGACCTTCCTGGGTGGAGGTAACCTTGTCTACTATAGCCGACGATCCGAAGGTTGAAATTCGAACACAGCCATCAGACTCTAATCCTATAGATGTGTGTCAAACAGTGCCCAGTCAGGTATTGCTTAAAAAATGCAATGACTAAGACAAATGCTTGTTCAAAAGAGTTTCTATCAATGTGTGAACCAATCGTATTATTATAGGTAAAATACAAAATGATATTACTGTTTTGTTCTTTATTGTCAAAAATGTCAAAATAATATTGGTCCAGTAAAATTTAGTCCGGTCCAGTAAATTTTGCTGGCTTGGTGGACCGAAGGTCCAGTGTTTAGAAATTTCATTCGTGAAGACTGATATACATTGACCTGATGGTGTGCTTTCTAGGATGAAAAGAATTACCGCTTGAATCATTATGTAAATAATTATCGGCTGAATAATTCTGAGATGGCACATCACGTAATGTAACGGATCTCATTTGTCAATGCATCCATGGGTAAAAGAATGTAAGTAACGCAAGGAAGACGCATTACGCTGTATAGAACGATAGAAGGTGATGTCTACTCGTGCATGCAGGACTGCACTATTGTATAAACGATAGTAGGAAGTCTTATGTAAGAGAGCTGTGATTATTTACGTCACATGTTGCTCGTTCATCGTTGCAGGACGATCCTGATGATGGGTCGCTATGTGGAGTCGATTGAAGACGTGCCGTGCGGTAACATCTGTGGTCTTGTTGGCGTTGACCAGTACCTCGTGAAGACTGGCACGATCACGACGCTCGCCACCGCTCACAACATGAAGGTGCGTGCCACCCCCGCCTACTGCCGTGTGACAGTCCTGCCACGATTCTTGCTACGCCGGGCCATTGTAAAAATATTGTTTCTTTGCCCTCACCCGACAGATCCGCCAAAAAGGGGCCGACTCAAAAAAAATGTATTGATCTTTTCCATTCTTTTTTTTTACAAATTGTATCACTGTACATTATATAAATCTGTAGGCAATACATTATATCAAGAGTACATAATAGAGAAGAGTATGACACCGTTTTAACAGCGTTTTGCATAGTTTCCAACTTGCAAATATTCTATCAATATACGTGACTATATATTCAAACTTTACCCTGTTTTCGTCTCGGATTCTCCCTTAATCATATGACACCACCAATTTACCTTAAAATCGTATGTGTTCTTCAAAAAAATTCTTTGCATACGACACGGTTTCACACAGTTTTCCCAAATGAGCGCATGTGTTCGTCGCAAGTTTATTATGGGATTAGTGTTCTATTGTCTATGACGGAACGCTGGGTGCTGTTGGCGATTATTAGGCATCGAATTGTATTCAGCGTGTAGCGTTTCCAGCATGCTAAAAATAAATGTGTGCTCACGGCGAGCTAGCAGCTGATTTTAGCTGTGTTGCCATCGTGTTCCTGATGATAAGGAAGCGAAACAAGTGCTGTTACTGTGCTTATCTAATATCCCCAACAGCCCCCAGCATCCCGTTTACGACCTGGTTCTGCCGCCTCATATCAACATTGGCTGAAAAGATGCAAACGTTTGGGAAAACTATGTGAAACCGTGTCGTATTCAAAGAACTTTTTTGAAGAACACATACGATTTTCAGGTAAATTGGTGGTGTCATATGATTAAGAGAGAATCATGGACGAAAACAAGGTAAAGTTTGAATATTTTTATTCACATATTGATAGAATATTTACAAGTTAAAAACTATGCAAAATGCTGTTAAAACGGTGTCATACTCTTCTCTATTATGTACTCCTGATTATATGTACCAAGCAAAACAAACATTCAACATAAAAGGTATCTCCACACAGGCACACCCGAGCATGTAGACACCATGCTGAATTCGTAAAAAAAAGCCTACCTACCTACCCAAACTTTTCAGCCTGGGTCGGGTGAGGGCAAACAAATATTTTTTTAATTGTGGCTGTTGGATCGATAATACTACAAACTCACTCACCTCAACAACAAGCCCCCTCCGCATCCGCGGCATCCGCTTCCGGTCCAGACGGGAAGGGAGATAACTCTCATTAAAGTTGGCATGTATACAGATAGTACATAGTTAACAGTGGCCCCGTGATGCAAGGTTCGGGGCTGCACATTCCTGCTATTAGAGGCATTGGAGTTGTTTATTTGTTTACGGCACTTGTTTAACTCGTTTGTGTTTACGATGAGCAGGTGATGAAGTTCAGCGTGAGTCCCGTTGTGCGGGTCGCCGTTGAGGTGAAGAACCCCGGTGACCTTCCCAAGCTTGTCGAGGGCCTCAAGCGTCTTGCCAAGTCCGACCCCATGGTGCAGGTACGTGCGTGCGTGAGCAAGCGAGCTGGTGCTCATTGCTAAACAAAACTAGTATGAACATTGATCTTAACATTGAACTTTTTCCCATAGTCCGTTGAGAGAAACATGTTACGAGTTTCTCATACACAGTATATAGTGGTGTAGTTTAAGAGAAAAAAGTGTTAATGTTATGGCTAATGTTAAGACTATTTTTTCTGACAACGGGCCTCAGGAATTCAGCCCTGGGTTTGAAAACGGGGGTTGGTGATGTGGCAGGGTACCGTGCGACGAAGCCACATCGCTCTGTAACAGCGCAAGCTGGATTTTATGTAGGCCAGATTGCTGTCCGACTCTAGACAATTCAATATCAAAATTAAGAGTCAAAGTTAAAGTTCACAATTTGTATGCAGATATTTAGCCATATTCTCACAATCTAGCTTTTAGGTACACATTTCAGTTACCACAATTTTTTAGCTCATCTGACATAGTCAGATGCAGCTTGTAGAATCGCTTGATCGTCCGTGCGTCCGTCCG